CCAGATTTTCTGATATCGGATGGAGGCCCAGAATTCGGAGAACGATTTGCCAGGGGGACTGAGCAGTGGGGGGTCCTCCACCACGTCTGCGATGCAGACAGTCCCTGGCAGAACGGCAGGTGTGAGCGCCACGGAGGATGGGTCAAGGAGCGGGTGAAGTCAGAAGTGGATGCGGGCGCCTCGGTCCCGAGTTCTCTGGAGGAATTGGACGAGCTTGTACACGAGCTCGTGGCTCACAAACATCGCTGTTGGCACCGCGGGGGGTTCTCGCCGTTGCAGTTAGTGTTCGGTCAGAACCCGAGGCTTCCTCGCGATCTTCTGAGTGACGATGTGTGGGGGATCTCAGGCCGGAGTGACATGATCAGCCCTGCGTCCGAACAAGACGCAGCCGGAGCCGAGTTCGCCCGCTCTCAGAGAGTCCGAGCTGCCGCTCGCAGGTTGGCCATCGAGGCGAATGCCCGAGACAAGATAACTCGTGCCTCGCTTGCTCGGACCCCCTCACCTAAGGAGTTCACCCCAGGCCAGTGGGTGTTTGTTTGGAGAAACCTCAGCAGGACATCATCTCGGGCAGACGCCCTGGGAAGACGCAGAGCGTGCTGGACCGGGCCAGGGGTGGTCGTGCTTTGCGAGAAAGGAGGCACCGTGTGGGTGGCAGTTCGATCTCGGCTCTGGAAATGCTCGGTGGAACAAGTTCGCCTGGCCAGTCCAGACGAAGAGTTCGGGATTCAGTCAGCGCAGAGCCCCCAGTGGAGGGGGCTCCTCGCTCAGGCGCAGACCCGCCGGGCCTCTGCTGTCGACGTCCAGCGAGAGGGACCTCCGCCAGACGATGCCTGGGACGAGCCTGCCCGCCATGACGCGAGCGAGGCCCCCCAGGTTAGGGCTCCAGGTCCCGAGACGGTCGACGAGCCCGACGAGGCTTCTGTGAACCGCTTTCCCCCTTCGGTGCTTGGGCCTCCGGGGGCCCCCCGAGTCGAGGGCCCTAGAGAGGGTCGTTCGGACGCCGACTCTATCGAGGCGCGGGCCGGGAGCGAGCGCACCCGCCTACCATCGATCGTGGAAGAGGTCGACTAGTCCTCCGGGGCTGTCTCCTGCTGAGACCCCAAGACAGATCTCGAGTGATCAGCCCCCGGGCCTCTCGAATCCCGAGGAGGCGAGAGCGTCCTCTCCGAGTCGACCAGAGGAGGATCCAGGGCGCCTTCTCTCTTCCCCGAACCCTTCCCCTTTACAAGTGTCCGGGGCTCAGGGGTCAAGAGGCAGGCGCCGGCTCTCGCAGCCCGAGGGCGCCCCGGCATGTATCGGAGCTGCCAGAGCGGCCAGCAGCCCCCCCGAGGTGAAGCGAGCGAGGATGGAGCTGGGGGAGAGCGCTCCTCCTGGTCCCTCTGCTCCTCTTCCTCCTCCTCCTCCTCCTGCTGCTGCTGCGACTATCTCTCTTCCGAGGAACGACGACGACCCGACGGCCCCCTCCTCCTCTTCCTCTGGCCCTGGGCCGGGGGGCACGCCCGAGGGAGGTGGGGCCAGGGCCATCGCTACCGGCGAGGAGCCGCGGCGCTCGGTGGCGGACCGGGCCCGCGACCTCGAGGCCGGACCCCGGGCCCCCGCCCGTGGCAGGAGCCGGTCACCACCCAGGGACCTGGCCGAGGATTTCTTTTTCCTCATCCCCTCCTCCGGCAGTAGTGGTGGGGGCGGGGCCCAGGCGGCCCAGGCTTCCCAGGTCCTGGGCGACTGGGCCGGACTGACTGAGGCTGGCGAGAGTTCGATGCCGACCTTTGCTGCCATCCGAGGCGGCGAGGTCTCTCTCAAGAACCTCTCCCCAGCTGAGCGCGAAAAGTTCTCGGTTTCCGACAGCAAGGAGTGGGGATCCATGATGGGTACCGGGGCCGTCGAAGTCATGCCCCCCTCGAAGGCGGACACGATCCGCAAGGCCTGTCCAGAGCGCATCAGTTCGAGCCGGATGGTCCGCAGGTGGAAGCCTGTCGAAGGCACGGGATCGGGGCCCATGGCCAAATCTCGCTGGTGTGTTCACGGCCGCAGAGATCCAGATTCCGGATCGTTCCAGGTGTACGCCCCCGCCCCACAAACATCGAGTATCATGATGTTCGTACAGGTGCTCATGAACTTGAGCATGCTGGCAGACATCGCCGATGACAAGAACGCCTTTTGCCAATCAGATCCCATGACCAGGACCCAGGGGTGCATTTACGTCGAGCCCTGCGAGGGCGTGAACCTTCCCCAGTGTTCTTTGATATTGCTCAAGGTGACTGTTTACGGCCTGGACGATGCCCCCGTCGCCTGGCGGAAGGCAGTGATCAAGTTTCTGGAGCAGCTGGGTTTCTGTAGGAGTCTGTTGGAGCCGTGCTGGTGTGTGCGTTACGGTAGCAAGGGGTATATTCTATATATGATATTGCTCGAGATAGACGATTTCTCCATAGGAAGTTCCTCGTCTGCTTCCCGGGCCTGGTTCCGTCAGCAACTGGAGAGTCGATTTAAGTTCGGCAAGTATCGGGGCTGTCATTCCGGGCCCGTGGAGTTCGCGGGGCGCAGGGTAGTCATTGGGCCTCAGAAGGCCACGCTGGACATGGAAGAATACATCCTCGAAGAAGTCAAGCCCCTGTCCATGAATAAGGGCCGCCTGTCCAACAAGAGCTCCTCCCTGGACCAGTCCGAGTTCCGGGCCCTGCGTTCCTTGGTCTACGAGTTTAACTGGGTGGGCAGGGAGACTCGTCCGGAGGCCGCTGGTGTCGCTTCCATCCTGGCCAGTCGTCTTCGAGCCGCGACTACTGGTGACGTGGCGCTCGCCAACAAGTTGGCAAGACACCTGAGGGCTACGGCCTCGAGAGGCCTGACCGTGTGGAAGCTGGACCCAAGTCAGATGGCCTTCGTCGCCTTCTCCGACGCGGGTGGTGCAGGCGCGTTCGACGGGTTGGTGGGCGATCGTGGTCTGCCCGAGGACCCGACCCAGGGGGCCTGGATGGTGTGTGCGACAGACAAAAGCATCATCGAGAATCGGTCGGCGCGAGCCTCTGCCCTAGGATGGCGTAGCTCCAAGCTCCGCCGCAAGGTTCCATCCACGCTGGCCGGAGAGACACAGGCACTGGCGACAGCCGTCTTAGAGGTCGAGTATCTCCAGATATTGTATCGGGATATAATGTTCCGTGATGTGGACATCAGCGATCATCATAGAGGTGCAAGCCCGTTTACCATTGTTCTTCGGAGCAACTGTCGTCTTGGGGCTCGCGAGCCCCAGGTTCACGTGGTGGACGCCAAGAGTATATACGACACCATGTTGAAGAAGGCAATGCGAGCGCTCGGGACAGCCGCGCTGCTATAGATTTGGCCAGTATCTGTGAATCTCTTGAGCGAGCCCGTGGTCACGTGAGATGGATCCCGCACGGACGCATGCCAGTAGACACCCTCGCAAAAGATGACGTCACGAAGGCCAATGCAGCTCTTTTCGATTTGATGGTGAGTGGCCGATTCGTCCTGGTGGACGAGGGCGAAGAGGTCGAGCGCCGCAGAAAGACTCCAGGTCTCAAGAGCAGAACACAGGCGGCCTCCAGAAAAGTCCTGGACGGCGAGTCCATCACCTGGCACGAGTTCCTGGCCCGGGACGGTGGTGGTGGTGGTGGTTCTCCTTCCTCTCCCGTCCTTCTGCCGTCCGACACTTTCCAATAATCCGTACTCTTTGTTTCAACCCTTTACTTTGGGGCAGTCTTGAAGGTGACTGCGAGCTGTCCGGCATGATTGTCAGACAGCTGGGGCTGCAAAACCTAAGAGAAAGTTCTACCTGTGTAACAGGAGAGCAGATTTCACGACATAGGTTTTGCATTTAGTTTATCACTCCAGAGCGTCTCTCGTAAGTTGACGCTTTGGCTCAAGGGAAAAGCATCTGCGCGCGCTTGCTGCTGCCGCAGGTTGACACCAACACCAATGCCGGCGGTGTGCCTCCACCGAGGGAGGAAGATCCCGATCTCGGCGATGGTGGTAATAATTCGGGCTTCCAAGGTGGCCGAAATATTGCCACCAACGCCGAAATCTAGGATCATCTTCCCCCTGTGGAGGCCCCCCCCGTGTTGGTGTTGGTGCCCATTTTCAGGCCTCCTACACTTGGTCTTTCATGCCCCGGGCCTCGGCCGACCAGTGGGCCTCGGTCGGTCAGTCGGGACGATCCCTGGCTTGCCAGAAGGCCCTCGACGGGGCAGGGCTGATGGACATTATTTTTAGGTCGGGCATTCCTCCTACAGGCGGGTTTTGGACGAAAGAGCAAAAACATTCAACACATATTCAAACATATTCGAAACATGATCCAAACATCGCCCCCATTTTTTTTTTTTTTTTTGATTTTTTTGAATATTCATCCTGTAGAGGACACGCCCGACTTGACTTCTGCTTTGCAACAGAAATTTGTTCAGGATCTTTTGGGACTGTTTCTTGACGGGTCCGGCGGTGACCCAGGCTGTCGGCCCGCCCGCCTCCCTCACTCCCGCCCGGATAGCCTGACCTTGCTGGTTGCGCAGGTCCGAAGGGGGTGCGAAGTTCTTGAACTCGCGGGCATACGTGGGGCTGCTTCGAAGGAACAGGTCAGGTCATTGATCGCCAGTTCCCTCCTTCCCCACACCGGATAAACGGGGTTATCGCCGGACAAAAAAAAATCAAAAAAAAAATCCGTCAGATTTTTCCCCGTCGGCCCTTCGCTGTGGAAACCTGGGATGGCCTGCTAATGTCCGACGGCTTCCGAAGTCCGCCGAAATCCTATGCTTCGACCGCTTCTCCTCGTCGCCGCCGCCGTCGCGCCGAGGCTGCCGCTGCCGCCCGTCGTCGTTGTCGTCGTCGTCGTCGTCGTCCGTCCGTCCGTCCGTCCGTCCGTCCGTCCGTCCGTCCGTCCGTCCGTCCGTCCGTCCGTTGTCGTCGGTCGTCGTCCGTGTCGTCCTTGTCGTCTGTTCGTTCGTCCGTCCGTCCGTCCGTCGTCCAGCGTCCGCCGTCGTGCCGTCGGCCGCCCCCAGGCCGCGGCGCTCGCCGAGGAGGCCCTGGAGTGCCCCCCCGCTGCGAGGGAGAGGCTGTGGCGCGAGGTGTTCGACAAGGCCCTGGCCGTCGGGGCGTGGAGCCAGGCGCCCTTTCGCCCGTCCGTCGTCCGTCGTCGTCGTCGTCGTCGTCGCCGTCGTCCTTCGTCGTTTTTCGTCGTCGTCCGTCGTCGTCCGTCGTCGTCGTCGTCATCGTCGTCTTCGTCGTCGTCGTCCGTCGTCCGTCGTCCGTCGTCCGTCGTCCGTCGTCCGTCGTCCGTCGTCCGTCGTCCGTCGTCGTCGTCGTCGTCGTCGTCGTCGTCGTCGTCGTCGTCGTCGTCGTCGTCGTCGTCGTCGTCGTACGTCGTCCGTCGTCCGTCGTCCGTCGTCCGTCGTCCGTCGTGCGTCGTCCGTCGTCCGTCGTCGTCGTCGTCGTCGTCGTCGTCGTCGTCGTCGTCGTCGTCGTCGTCGTCCGTCGTCCGTCGTCCGTCGTCCGTCGTCCGTCGTCCGTCGTCCGTCGTCCGTCGTCCGTCGTCGTTGTTCCTGTCCTCCTCGAGGCTCGTCCTCCGCGCTGCTCGCGGCTCGCTCCTCCTGCTTTCCAGCCTCTGCTCCCCCCGCGCTCCGCGACCCGTTCTCCGTTTTGCTCCTCCGCGCTTCCCCCTCGCCGTCGCCACCGTCGTCGTCATCATCCAGTTCCGCTGGAATTTTCGGGGGCGGGGACCCGCTCACAGGGGGCGGCTCTCTGGATCGTCTGCCGGGAATCGGCCGGAGACCTCTTTCAGCAAACGCGCCCGTGAGCTGGTGTCTCTTGGTATGCCGATCGCCTTCATTACCAGTTGTTTGTTGACCGACAGGGAGATTAGAGGTAAGTCGGGCCTGTCCACCTACAGGGGGATTTGGTCGGACAAATAAAAAACTTGTCAAACATATTACAAAATGGACACAACAAGATAATCAAAAAATAGTACCCAGACTATTTCCCAACCATCCTGTGGTGTTGGGTCCTCGTTTTGAAGAGACGTCGCCCCGCGTTCCTGCCTCCTCCTTCCTCCTACGCCCCTTCTACCCCGCACATTCTGGGGCACACCCCTCAACACGTTTCGGGCCCTTAGGGTAGGCTCCACCGAAGGCCCAGTGGCTGCGCCCGCTTTGCAGCGGTTCCACCCCCCATTCTGGCACACCCCTTACACGTTTCGTGGCCCCATAGGGAGCTCCACCGAAGGCCCCAGTGGCTGCGCCCGCATGCGGTTCCACCCCCCATTCTGGCACACCCCTCTCACGTTTCGTGGCCCCATAGGGAGCTCCACCGAAGGCCCCAGTGGCTGCGCCCGCATGCGGTTCCACCCCTCATTCTGGCACACCCCTCACACGTTTCGTGGCCCCATAGGGAGCTCCACCGAAGGCCCCAGTGGCTGCGCACGCATGCGGTTCCACCCCCCATTCAGGCACACCCCTCACACGTTTCGTGGCCCCATAGGGAGCTCCACCGAAGGCCCCAGTGGCTGCGCCCGCATGCGGTTCCACCCCTCATTCTGGCACACCCCTCACACGTTTAGTGGCCCCATAGGGAGCTCCACCGAAGGCCCCAGTGGCTGCGCCCGCATGCGGTTCCACCCCCCATTCTGGCACACCCCTCACACGATTCGTGGCCCCATAGGGAGCTCCACCGAAGGCCCCAGTGGCTGCGCCCGCATGCGGTTCCACCCCCCATTCTGGCACACCCCTCACACGTTTCGTGGCCCCATAGGGAGCTCCACCGAAGGCCCCAGTGGCTGCGCCCGCATGCGGTTCCACCCCCCATTCTGGCACACCCCTCACACGTTTCGTGGCCCCATAGGGAGCTCCACCGAAGGCCCCAGTGGCTGCGCCCGCATGCGGTTCCACCCCCATTCTGGCACACCCCTCACACGTTTCGTGGCCCCATCGGAGCTCCACCGAAGGCCCCAGTGGCTGCGCCCGCATGCGGTTCCACCCCCCATTCTGGCACACCCCTCACACGTTTCGTGGCCCCATAGGGAGCTCCACCGAAGGCCCCAGTGGCTGCGCCCGCATGCGGTTCCACCCCCCATTCTGGCACACCCCTCACTGCGCCCGCATGCGGTTCTTCTGGCACACCCCTCACACGGTGGCCCCATAGGGAGCTCCACCGAAGGCCCCAGTGGCTGCGCCCGCATGCGGTTCCACCCCCCATTCTGGCACACCCCTCACACGTTTCGTGGCCCCATAGGGAGCTCCACCGAAGGCCCCAGTGGCTGCGCCCACATGCGGTTCCACCCCCCATTTCGGCACACCCTTCACACGCTTCGTGGGTGGCTCCATGGGGAGCTCCACCGAAGGCCCCAGTGGCTGCGCTGGCATGCGGTTCCACCCCCCAACCCTCACACGGTTCGTGGCCCCATAGAGAGCTCCACCGAAGGCCAGTGGCTGGGCTCGCATGCGGTTCCACCACCTTTTCCGGCACGCCCTTCACACGTCTCGTGGCCATAGGGAGTTCCACCGAACGCCGCAGTGGCTGCGCTCGCATTCGGTTCCACCCCCCATTTCGGCACACCCCTCACACGTTTCGTGGCTCCATAGGGAGCTCCACCGAAGGCCCCAGTGGCTGCGCTGGCATGCGGTTCCACACCCCATTCTGGCACACCCCTCGCACGTTTCGTGGCCCCATAGGGGGCTCCACCAAAGGTCCCAGTGGCACTGCCCGCTTGCGTCCGCCACCACCCAGCACAGCCCTTGTTCCCTGCGCTTCACCCACCCAGAACAGCGCTTCGTAGCCCTATAGGGAGCTCCACCAAAGGTCCCAGCGGCACCGCCCGCATGCGTCCGCCACCACCCTGCACAGCCCTTGCTCCCTGCCTGCGTTTCACCCACCCAGTACAGCGTTTCGTGGCCCCATAGGGAGCTCCACCGAAGGTCCCAGTGGCACCGCTCGCATGCGTCCGCCACCACGCAGCACAGCCCTTGCTGACCGCGTCTCACCCACCCAGTACAGCGTTTCGTGGCCCCATAGGGAGCTCCACCGAAGGTCCCAGTGGCACCGCCCGCATGCGTCCGCCACCACCCAGCACAACTGCGGCATTCACAACTGCATATGGTTGGGTCCTTCGCCAGGCTAATTTTTACTATGTTTGATGAATGCTCCTCCTGTGGAGGGACAGGCCCGACTAACGATTAGAGTGGGGATGTATGCTGTTGGGTCGGGGTCGGTGGCGGAGCTGGATGATAACACTTGTGCAGGAAGGGCAAGGTGAAGGCGAGGGGGTGGGGATGGGCAAGGGGATGGGGGAGTCAGGGGGACAAGGGAGTTGTCCTGAGGCTGATGGATAGGACAATGAGGAGGGCGAGGAGGAGGAGGAGGATTAAAAAGAGGGGGAGGACGAGAAGTTTCATGTTAATGGTGACGATGGAGGATACAAGGATGCACGGCATGGAGGCGCCAGCTAGTCACCCGCCAGCGTTCTGTGTGCAATTGGATTCGCAGAGAAGCCATCTTCGGCTCGAGTCGGAACACGATCGAGCATGAGTTGGAGGAGGAAGTGTGTTTTGCGGTGTGTGTGTGTGTGTGTATGTGTGTATATGTTTAGTTCTCTCTCGTTGCCTATATATGTGTATATGTATATCTATATGTATTTGTATATATATACTTGTATATATATGTATATATATAGATACATATATGTGTATATATATATCGGAGGTTGGGGGGTGTGACTTGTAGTAGCTCCAACCAGGAAATCGGTTTCGGTTTCGGTTTCGGTTCGTGTCGTGCGTGCGGGCGAGGCGAAGTTGCGCGAGTTCCTGCACTGGTAGGGGCCATCTATTGCAACGAGGGCCGTCCTCCGAGCGCTGGGCATGGCCCTCGGTTGTCCCGGCTGTTGTCCAGGCGGTTGTCCCGATGGTTGTGGTTGTCCCGATGGTTGTCCCGATGGTTGTTCCGATGGTTGCCCCGATGGTTGTCCCGATGGTTGTTCCGATGGTTGTCCCGATGGTTGTCCCAATGGTTGATTTATAGATAAATAGTTAGATGTTGTCCTGATGGTAGTCCCGATGGTAGTCCCGATGGTTGTCCCGCTGGTTGTCCCCATGGTTGACAGATAATACTTAGATGTTGTCCCGATGGTAGTCCCGATGGTTGTCCCGGTGGATGTCCCGATGGATGTCCCGATGGTTATTCCCCACATGCTTCGTGGGGTTCTGGTTTTCTTCCCTTCCGCGTCTCACCCGCGTCTTCTCCTCCCCAACCCTCTCCTTCTCTTCCCAGCTGCGCTGCACCCGCGGCTGGAAGAGAAGGAAAGGGAAAGCACGGCAGGCGCGGCACTCTCTCGACACCAGGAGGGTGCGCAGAGGGTGCGGTCTCTATGCGTTGCAGGCGCGCAGGGCACGGCAGGCGTGGGAATTCTCGACACCAGAGGGGGTGAACAGGGGGTGCTGTCTCTATGCGTTGCAGGCGCGCAGGGCACGGCAGGCGCGGCACTTTCTCGACACCAGGAGGGTGCGCAGAGGGTGCGGTCTCTATGCGTTGCAGGCGCGCAGGGCACGGCAGGCGTGGCACTTTCTCGACACCAGAGGGGGTGCACATGGGGTGCGGTCTCTATGCGTTGCAGGCGCGCAAGGCACGGCAGGCGCGGCACTTTCTCGACTCCAGGAGGGTGCGCAGGGGGTGCGGTCTCTATGCGATGCAGGCGCGCACGGCACGGCAGGCGTGGGAATTCTCGACACCAGGAGGGTGCACAGGGGTGCATGCAGGGGGTGCGATGCTGCGGTATGCGTTGCAGGCGCGCAGGGCACGTGGGAATTCTCGAGGGGGGTGAACAGGGGGTGCGGTCTCTATGCGTTGCAGGCGCGCAGGGCACGGCAGGCGCGGCATTTTCTCGACACCAGGAGGGTGCGCAGGGGGTGCGGTCTCTATGCGTTGCAGGCGCGCAGGGCGCGGCAGGCGTGGGAATTCTCGACACCAGAGGGGGTGCACATCGGGTGCGGTCTCTATGCGTTGCAGGCGCGGGGCAGGCGTGGCAATTCTCGACACCAGAGGGGGTGCACAGGGGGTGCGGTCTCTATGCGTTGCAGGCGCGCAGGGCACGGCAGGCGCGCATTTTCTCGACACCAGGAGG